CCCAGACCCCACCATCTCATGATTGTATGTGTGTGGAGTGATGCCATGTAGGTCAGTCTATGTGAGTCAGTTCGTTATAAGCCTTCCACTGCATAAAACTCATCCTATATTGGTTGATTCTTGGTTCTGCCCATACTCATTGGAGTATGTAACATTGTACCAGGTACCTCCATTGGACCTGCGGAGCCAATCACTACGAATTGTGAGCCTGATTTGCTGAGTTATCATATTCTTCATAGCATTATCTGAGATGAACTTGCTTTTGAAAAGTTGATCATGTCTATCGTCCCAGATTATTTTCATTAAAATTGCTCGAGTCACTTGAGCTACATACAGCCAGTCATATGCCTTAGTGCTGGCCATATCATGAACCCCATTCAAGATCGAGTCATCAGACCAGACAAAATTACCCTCTGTGATCCGATCCCAATGTTGTATCCACCAGTTCCATATTCTCCTCGATGTCGGACACGTCAACCACAGATGGCGTGAGTCTTCCCGCATCCATTTGCACCGAACACAGGAAGCCGGAATTTCCATCCATTTGGCTACCAGACTTACTGCAGAAGCTGTTGCCAACATGGAATGTAGCTACAGAATGCTAGCTAAAAGTGTTTAACTTGCTTCCATGTTGACGATAGCTGTTCTGCAGATATGGGCAGAAGACCCTGATCTTGTCTTCTCTTAGCCACTACTCCTTTGGGCGTTTTTTTTAACTTTCTGTCGCAATAATCTTGTGCCTTCTTTGGTGGAATAGTCATCCAATCCCAACAACCTCTTATTCTGCACATGCCGCCAACCCACCGTACTGCTGTCTGTTGGGGCTAGCTTCACTGGAGACAAGCCTCGCGGGAGAGAGGCTCTTTTTATTAATGTATCTCCCACCGAAGCTCTCTGAGTCTTAGTTCTGACAAACAACTTCAGAGTAGCCCTGCAAGGTAGCCAGTCTCACATCGCCCCCTTGAGTCAAAGTTCAGCTGAAGGAGAAGTCACTGGGCAGGGACCATTATGTTGCCGCCCATCCATCCTCACCCAAGTCTGCTTTAACCTGCAATACAACATCTTTATGGGACTGAGAATAACCATATGCAAGGAACATGAATATGGACGAAGCACAGAAATCCAGATTGCAAAATCACACTGAAGTCCAAGTAGTCAAAGCAAGAGCAGATAGCACAATGGAACCGAGTAACCATCCATTTGAGAACGATAAAAAAGAATCGTGAGTCAATGTCCAAGCCCAACAGGGCAACACCAACAGCATAACCCAATGTAGCTCTCTCTCCTGAATGGCGCCAGGCGCCCTATCTACTCTACAGCCTAAGCCTACAACTACAGCAATGAAAGCAACCGGACAACTTGACGACCAGCGAGTGATGATGTCAACACCAATGCCGACCTCCCACCTCCACCAGGTACGTCTCCTTCTTTACCCACACTCTCCCTTGTTATCCCACACAGCGCCCTTCACCTCCGAAGAACCACCTTCGCCCTCACCTCCCCTGCGCCCTTAAGCAGCCCGGCTATGGCCGCCAGCGCCCTGTGCACAGGCAGCGCCCTACCGCCTAGCGCCTGCCTGTCTGGCACCTCATCCTAGCTCAGCGCAGCAGCTCGCATTAGCGCAGCGTGCCGGCATTGCCCGCAATGGCCAAGATCCTTGCCCACTCGCCCTGCTTGCCTATATGCCAGTGTTGCGTGTGGGCGGCCTCCCTTCAGCCTGCGACTGGGCCCCAGTGCCTGAACCCAGGCCCGATGCAGTTGGGGCCCGGGTGATGAAGTTGCGCCTCTTTCGTCAAGGCCTGCGGGCCAGATTCAGATAGTAGGCCGATTTCCCTTTGGCATTTTCGGCCTCTATACCCAGCATGCATTGTCGGCCTCACGTTCAAGTGCCCAGGGCCTAACTAACTCAGAGGCCCTGGGATCTCCACATTTGCAGAGATTCGAGACTCGGTGCACTCCAACCAATTGGTGTGCTGCAACTGTATGGACCCTACGTCGTGAAATGTTTGCACATAGGGCTCTTGTTGATTTGCTGGCCCGCCTTCACTTAGGCGGGCACAAGGCTTGCTGGGGCCTTAGCCCAGAACATGTACATCATGGCAAGGCCCCTCCTTGAGGCCTCAATCCTCACATTCCATCCCCCTTCGCTTCGAAAGTCCGCTGAGATGCTAACTTCGCAGGTGCCTTCCCTTTCAGCTTCTTCTCATATTCTGCTACCACTTGAGGAGCTGTGTCAATCAGTTCCTCTCTGGCGAACCATCGGTCTTCCTTTGGATCTGTATGATGCCTGAATCTGACGCGATATTCCCGCTTGGGTTTTGGAGGTCTTCCTCTACCCAATGGCTTCTGAACAGGCAGATCTTTGTGATCCACAATGTAGTCGATGTCCACTTGACCATCCATGGTTGGGGGCAGCATCGATCTCCTTGAAGGGAACTGATCCGTCTCAGCGAAAGGTGCAAGCTTTGAGGCATGAAAGACAGGGTGAGTGCGTAGGTGTCCAGGGATGCGGATCACATAAGTGGGACCATCCATCTCATCCCCCACTATATCCAGGACTTCCCAGGGACCAAAATACCGAGGCATTAGTTTGCGAGAGATTCCGAATTCTTGTCCTGGCTCACTAGCCTTGACCCAGACACATTCCCCTACCTGAAATGAGGACTGTCTACGATGTTGATTCTTAGAAGCAATCATTGCTTGCTGAGCTTTCTTGATATGCTCGACAACTTGCTGCAATAACTTCTCATACTGCACACCATACTCAAGTGTGCCTGGAGTTGCAGCGGGTCGGTTTTCAGGTAGGAGGAAGTCTAGAGCTGATCTAGGCTTCCATCCCAAGTGCAGCTGATTAGGACTAACGCCGGTACTGCTGTGTACAGCGTTGTTGGACAGGCTGGCGATGAGAGGCAACTTCTCATCCCAGTCATCCTGGTTGGGCTTGATGTAATGCCTCAGCAAGTGTTGTACAACTTTGTTCATCTGTTCGGCTTGTCCATTTGCTTCGGGATGATTTCCTGAAGTCATCTGAAGTTGACTGCCCATCTGTTCAGCAGTCTTCTTCCATAGCTCACTTGTGAAGCGGACATCTCTGTCACTAACGATGGTCTTTGGTAAACCAAAGTCACGCACCCACAACTTGATAACATGGTCAGTCCTTGCGGTCTCTGGCATTGCAACTAGTCTAGCGTACTTGGTGAATCGATCGATGATGACGAAGATGTGCCTCTTGCCACTCTTACTGGTCACCAGTGTGTCCATGAAGTCCATGGAAACACTCTGTCCTGGACCAGCGGGGATGGGTAAGGGCTTCAACAACCTAAGCGGTGCTTGAGTGCGCGGCTTGTCCCGCTAACAGACCTGACAGGTCTCTATTTACTTCTTTGCGTCATCTAGCATTCCAGGCCACCAAAATCGTTGTACTAGATTAGCACTCGTCTTCTTGTAGCCAAAGTGCCCGGTTGCGTCATGGCATTCTCCTAAAAACAAACTACGCAATCGTTCACTAGATGGAACTACTAACCTTTTTATTCCGGCCTTATCAAGATAGAGAAGCCCGTCCACCATCACAAACTCATTCTTTGTGGCCTTGTCTTTCGCCTGAAGTTTGCGTATAGTGTCCATCATGACAGGGTCTTCCTGATAGGCTCCCACCAACGATTGAGTCAGTTCTTCAGATACACCAAAGTCAGAAACTAGCGCCCCTAGGTAATATGCCCTACGTGATAGCGCATTTGCAACCTTGTTGTACTCTCCCTTCAGATACTCAAGCTTGAAGTCATACTGATCTATGACCTCAATCCATCGCTCGAGGCATCAGAAAGAGCCGGTTCAGTCGTGATCCATTTGAGCGTTTGATGGTCAGATCTCAAGTAGAAGAACCGTCCCAACAGGAAATGTCTCCAATGGACAAGTGCCTTGTAGAGAGGATAGAGTTCCCTTTCGTAGGTGGACTTTGCCAATTTCTTCGATGGCATCTTCTTGCTCATGTACTCAATCGGTCTCAACGTCTTCCCATCCTGTTGAGCCAGCACTGCGCCAATGCCATATTGACTTGCGTCAGTGGTTACTATGAATGGCTTCTGGGGATCGGGAACCATGAGAACTTCATGATTCATGAGTGCATGCTTCAATCGCTTGAAAGCACCCTTGCACTCATCACTCCAGTCTCACGGCGTGTCAAGTCGAGTTAGATCTGTCAAAGGAGAGGCGACTGTAGAATAGTTCTTTACGAAGTTCCTATAGTAGCCGCACATTTCTAAGAAAGATCTGACCTCAGTGACAGTCTGAGGTCGTGGCCAATCTCGAATACTAGCCACTTTCGCATCTTCCGGCCTAATCCCTTCCGCAGATACTTCATGACCCAAGTATAATATCTTAGTGCGACCAAACTCACACTTCTCTAGGTTGACCTTATACTTGTGCTGTCGCAGGAGTGAAAGTACAGTCTCAACGTGTTGTGCATGCTCCTCGGCAGACTTACTAAAGATCAGAATGTCGTCAAGGGAAACCACGACAAACTTATCTAAATGGTCATGGAAGATCCGATTCATGGCGTGCTGGAATGTTCCCGGCGCATTGCAAAGACCAAAGGGCATCACTACAAACTCATACAGACAATATCCCGTCTGAAAAATTGTCTTGTGTTGGTCCTCAGGTCTTATAGCGATCTGATGATAGCCGGATTTCAAGTCTATGGGCCAACGCTGCTGCAGCCCGCGGGTCGTGTCATCGCCCTGCTAGCGAATCTTATGGGCCAACGTTGTTGCAGCCCGCGCCAAGCGTCTGCCCCTCGACTGCCTCCTGAGGCCATTGGCCTCCATCTCGATCTCCGTCGGGTCGTATGTCCCTGGGGCCATCACGTCCGGCTCAAAACGGGAGTAGTCCTCAGCCCTCCTCTCCACATCAGTCAATCCGACCCCTGGGAGGCCTGCCCCTATGAACCCGCCAAGCGCGTGACTGCTCTGGAGAAGCTTGAGGTTCCAGTGACAGAACACAAGCTTCTCCAATTGCTCGACACCCAGCCTGTTGCGCCTCTTCGTGTGCACGAAGTCGTGTGTGGACCAATTCCTCTCACAGGGAGAGGCAGTGGTCCACGCGCCCAAGCAGCGCATGGCGACATCTCGCAGTGTCCGATGCTCACCCCCCTAAACTCGCCACCATCTCACGGGATCAAAGTCAGGCTGCTCGATCTCTGCATCTTCGACGGGTCCTCCCCAATGACCAGGTGTGGGATACTTGCCGTGGAAGTCCTGCAAAGAACTCCATACGGCAGTCATCTCGTCGCCCTCTCGCCCTCCACGAGAATGCGCTCCTGTACTGTCCCTCGCATCAAGGTATCGATGCTGCGGTACTTGGGGTGCAACAGGTGTGCGGCGCAATGAATCGGGGTGAGGAGCATATCTGACCTCTCCTTGACTATCTTCTTGATGGGCTCGTGACAAGCCTCGTCAAGAGACAGTCGATCGACCGTGATCCGCAGCCTCTCCAGCAGACCCCACATGTCACCGACCCTACGTGCGCTGTCCCTCAGTGCGGGGAGCCACGCGGTCGTCGCCCAGGCACTGGTGCTAACACAACCATCCAAAAATGCATGCAACTCCTTCATGCGCTTCAACATGATGAAGTTGGTCCCGTACCGTGTCTCTATCGGGCGGATCAAGGACACGGGTGGAGACTGCCGACTCAGGAGGTACGCTGCCCGTGAGTGCCGCCGAAAAAACGAAGTAATATCTCGCCCCTCTGCGATGACCTGCGCTACCCACGGCTGTCTGGCGATGTGCGTGAGCATCAAATTGCAGCAGTGAGCTGCGCAAGGGATCCAAGCGATCTTTCGCAATGAAACATCCTGGTCATTACGGAGCAAACGGTAAGCCTCCTTGTTGGCCAACGCGTTGTTCGTACATATCGCCACCACATGCTGAGCGCCGATCTCCAAAATGAGCTCCCTCCATTTGAGGTACAGACCTGCTCCGGTCCGCTCCCTACCGAACATATCCTCAACACGGTACAGGGATGCACCCAACCTCCCGGCAACCAAGTAGTTGCAGAGAGGGCGGTTGGCCTGAGTCGACCAGCCGTCCGTCATGAAAGTGACCCCCTCAAACCACGACTCTCGGTGATACCGCAAGCGCTCATCGAGCTCCGCATAACAGGGACAACAGAGTCGTGCGCAGTAACTCGGACCCCGGCTGGTGAGGTCGGTACGGACCCCTGAACTGACTAAGGTAGACGTCGTGTAAAGCCAAATACCACTCCGATCTAGCGACGTTGAACGGGATACCACAACCCACGAAGAATCTGATGTACGCCATGTCGAGGTCGTACTAGATGGGGTGCTCGACCCATCCATCGAGACGAGTCTGGGTCACTCTGGGCACTCGGTGCCGATCCTGTCTCCGCTCCACAGGGTCTGCCGCCAACCCTTCCTCGAGGTCGGCAGGGACAGGTATGCCCTCATCTCTTGCTCGCTGGAGCATCCTCTCTCTCCACCACTGCTGCTCGTCCCGCGGACCGCCAACAGCCCCCTCAGGCACACACCGTCTCCTCCCTGGCTGCAAATGTGAAACACCATGCGCCCTCTTCCCCACCGGATCAAACCGTCTCGCCCTTGCGTGCTCTGCACGCTCTATCTCGTCCCACTCGTCCCCTCCCCCACGTGAGCCCTCTCCTGCTCCCTCTACCCCTGACGGGCCCTCTCCTGCTCCCTCTCCCCCTCCACTAGAAGGGCCCACTGCTCCAGAGGCGCCCGCTCCTCCGAAGGGGCGCGCTCCGTCCTGCCGTACCACTGATGTCGGACCGTCTCGGTCTGCCCGCCCTCGTCCCTGTGCCAAATCACGCGCAGGGACAAGGGGGGGCTGTCGTGCCACACCGCCAGGCAATCTCGAGTTGAGGGGATGCTCGAAATCAAGCTCACCCTCCCTGTCAGCCTCCCGCACATAGACAGGGAGCGAACCCTTCAAGGCTATGCCCGCCCTTTGCAACTCCCTAAGAATGTACACGCACGCGTGCGGGCACCTGTCATGCTCGCGTGCGGTGTTGAAGTGTTGGCACGCCTTGGTCTGTTTGCCGACCCACCGGTGACCACACAACCTGCAACGTAGCTCGTGATTGCCCTTCGGGTCCGCCCCCGAAGGGCTGATCCACACCTGCCCCTTCTGCACGTACTTCCAGATGACGTGCTTCGGCCAAGGGTCGTTCTCGAAGTCATCATTAGGCACGAACTCCAGCCTGTGCGCCATGTCGGCACCCCCCC